GTTAGGGTTCTCGATGGATTCTATCAAGATGAGTGAGGTACGAAGTGTTGTCGGGAATTCACGTATCAAGTCTAAGAAGTGAGTCGATCGAATGTGAACCTTGTGGTTATCCGAAAGTAGTAGCGGCCTGAAAAGGGTCGGACCATGTCTCCATGAGGATTCTCGGATGGTCCTAAGCTCTCGGAAAGGAGTAGAGCTTTTCAGTACTAAGAACATAGTGTACTTCTATGGCAAGATCAACACTGGCGTGATCGCCATTACGAAGTTCCTAACGTTCTCGCTTGTACTGGATGTGTAGTCCTTCAGGTTAGTCCTTAGGAAGCTCAGGTGGTCTTCGGTTTCGTGTTTTCTTTCAACTGGCTGATAGAGACTTTCTAGATCGTCGAGTGGGTTGCGTGACTATGGTTATCGGTTTGCTATAGAGTGTCTATCTCGCGCTTGTGCAAAATGAACCTGCACTAACGAAGCTTGAGATACGGAAACCCTGAGGATCGAGGAGTAGGGTTTCACTAGATGAACGTTGGACTATCTCGGGAGGTGTTCTACTATCTCTGCGTGAGATAGTATTCGTGGAACACCTAATAATCCAATGAATCTCTAAGACTGTGGTTTATCCTAGCATGGAAAGGTGTATGTTCCTGCATAACCCTTCTACTAACACCAAGGCTGGTGTCAAGCCTATGATCTCTTCGGAATCCAGGTCATGAGATTTAACGCAGCTACTTTCACACTTGACCAAATATTCTTGGCTGCGAAGGGTTATCCTGTGGTTCTCGGTATCCTAGTGTTCACTTTGGAGAATGTATTCCATCGTCTACAGGGTGACGACGATTTCCTCCATGCAATAGGTGGAGGATGATAGGCACCACTTGTCTATAACGAGGTGGACGAAGTGCCTGAGTAGTGCGGGCATATACTGCAACTACTCATCCGGAGATTCTGGGTTTTCTCGGTCTAGGTTAAATCTAGTGAGTATAGAGTCTTCTCACTCGGAACTTTTAAGAGTTCAACCCGTAGTGATTTTCTTGACTTCGGCTCCTATGTTATGGAATATGGTGAAGGTGTTTTGCTAAGAGGTCCGTGGTAGAGCTCATACTAAGCCTAACCGCAAATACCGCGTGTATGCGAGCAGTATACAGTTGAGGTCGGCGGGACGTTCAGCTGTGCGACTCCACCCCAAACCCACAACCCAACGAGGAACAGGGAATAGGGAGGAACACACACCCTTTAATCTTTTTGATCTCAATTATATGTCGCCCTTATGCACATACCTGATTATAGCGGTCAGTCTTATGAGTTCTATTCTCTAGGTTCACGAACCTAATGTGCGAGGTGCGAAGGGTCTCTCGGGGAAATTATACGGAGTATGCTTCGGTCGGATGTCGTCTTCTAGAGTATCTTGTAGTGTGTTTCACTTCGGTGTTCATCTGACTACGAGGGGTCGGTCAACAGTGTATGGTATCTTCCCTTGGGTGCTTCGGAAGGTTTGAGATAAGAGGGACGATTGACGGATCGTATTAAGTTGGTTTATTTGTGTTAGGTTCAGGTTTGGAAGAACCTTTATTTGTCGATATGGCTATGGAGAAAGTTCTTTTTACACAACACTTAAGGATTTACACACGGTTGCACGAAATCAAACCATGATCGATAGAGTCGTCGAAATTGGCACACTTCGACATGATATAAAGTGAAGATCGATAGAGTCATGTGCCGAACAGGCACACAAGTTCGAGGCGTCTCGGGTTTCGTCCTACGTATCACTACCACGGATACTTGGACCGATAGATTCGACGCGGAACTATAGAGAGTTCTAAGTGTTTCCGAATAGAGTATCTTTTCATGAACGGGTTCTCACGAGGCGTTTCTATAATCGCCTCACTTATACTAGTCATGTACATTTAAGGTGGGGAGGACTGTTGACTGAGCGACCCCGCCCTAAATCCACAACCAAATGAGGAACAGGAGATGAGGCGGCATTCGCTCACTCTAGGTCTGTCCATCTTAAATATACATGGCCGTAACGTATATGTTTAGCCACTATAGTTTTACCTAATAAATTTTAAATTTTATAACATTGCTGCGACTTTCGCCTTGCTGGAAAGAATTTACATTGAATTAGTCTTTTAATGTATTTAGCTTTGTTATCTGAGATCGAGAGTCGTACCAAAATCTACCGAGTTCCTTGATGTTTCTCCCTAAGCAGTAGTGTTAGGCTCCTTCTGTGTCTTTGTCTTTTCCTTCGGTTGGGCAATCCTTCTTGAAGTGTCCGAACTCGCCACATAGGCGGCAAACCTGTGTGGCCGCCGCATTGGCGATTGATGCAATACGTTCCACCGGAGTTCTGCATACACGAGCAGTATGCCCCTTCATGTGGCACCTAGCACAATAGAGTTCTCGGCAGGCACCATGATGATGGTAGCTACACCTGCTGCAGTGGGGAAGGTCTCCTAGATATGGTCTTCTTGGAGTCGGGAGGGAAGGGTTGACAGGGGTACAGACTGCCTCAGCTCGTTGCCCTTCGGAAGGTCCTTGAGCCGAGGTACTTCCCTCCTCTATCTTGAGTTTTCTCTTTAGTGGGTTCAGTTGAGGTTCTTGGGTGGCTGAGTATGGAAGTGTGGGTTGATGTTGTCCATTGTCAGGATTGGAATTTCCAACGGGCACCTTGCTAACATTGGCGTTGTTAGCATTCAGGTGAGCCATGACAGCTGCTACGGCTGCTGAAACTGCAGCTTGGAACGTAGCTTCATCAAATAGGAGAGTAGGTTTCTTGCTTGTGGATTGGTTACGCTTCTTCGGTGGCATGGTTTTTTTCCTACACGGAAAGGAATACAAGGTAATGAGAGACGATGGTTAACCCTGGACGTTTCTGTCCTGAACGTATTAGGCATAATATTTTTCCCGTGCCTTGGGTATTGGTTGTCTGAGTGTCGACCTACATCCCTATGATGTAGTCCTGGTAATCGAAGTGAGTGTATGAATATCGGAAAAAGGCCATAAGATGCGAGTCGTTCCTACTAAGTTACCTTTATACTGAGAAGGTTTCACTCTCCGGTCTGGAGAGATTTGAGAACAGTTCGGAACGAAGCTGCGAGAAGAGAGGCTCATGAGGTCTTATGGCTAAATAACCTCACAGAGGTGTGAGGATCCGCTCTAAGCGCATTACTGGCAACGGGAACAAGGCGATTTACCTAACACATAGCGTGAGCAGTGTAATCACTAACTCTCTAAATTGTATTATTTTATGGGTGTATTAGCGTGAAGAACACGAGGAAAAGACTCTTCTCGGGGTTCCACGTACTAGCTCCCTCGGCCTGCCTCATATCCTTGACTGGAATCGGCGTTGGTTTCCTTCGGGTAGTTTCCTAGGGTTCTCTTCTCGTATGGACATATTGAATTTCTACTCTGCCTTCCTTCTGACTCCGATTATGGGTGTCATCACTTCATGATGGATGACCGGGAATCTCCGAAGTTTAGGCGAATTTCTCGCCGTTGTCCCTAAAAGAACACGGGCACTTGGTGCATTCAATAGTCTCGACCCAGTTCATTTATTTCCGAACAGGAAATCTTCTAAATGAACTTCTTCGGGGTCGGAATCAACTCTTATGTTATGCACTGAAGTGGGTAGGGTTTTCTACAGGGTTCGTGCGAGATGGAAATGTCTAAAGAATCCTAATAGATTATTAACATTTCACTTGATGATCTACATCGAGTCCTGCTACGATTACACAGGGTATACAAATCATATATAGCTTAGATCTGATAGGCCTTCGAATATGTGATACTACTCTAGAACCTGATACGTGTATGGGCTTGATTTGGTGAGTAGGGTAGTGTTTAGGTAAATTAAAAGAGAATAGTAACCACAAATGATATATGAATGGAAAGAAATGGATAAATTAGTAACAACTCAAGACCTATTAAGTTGTATACCGGTGAAAACAATCCAAGACCTATTGGATTGAGTTCGTATCAAGTCAAGAACACCTCCTAACAAGATAATTTGTGAATTATAACAATAATTCCAATTGAACAAAGGTTTTTTTCTTAAAAATTCGTCTATATCTTTTTCCATGCATAAACTTGGCTTTATATGAAGCCTTTATTAAACTTGGTGGTTACAATCCAACCAACCAATTATTCATTAAAACTAGTAAATGAAAATTAAGGAAACTCTTGAAATAACACAAAAAAAACGTCCAAGACACTTGAGGATGAAGAAAAAACGTTTATGCTTCATTAAGGAGCCATAAGAAGCATTAATGAGCCATCAGAAGCATTAAAGTGTAACCCTAATCCACCAAAGAGTGATAAAAACGGCTAGGAGGCTTTATGAAGTAAAAAGTAACGTTTTTAACACTTATGAAGCCTTAAAAATGTTGCCCTAGCCTTCATGCAACCCTAATTCAATTTGTGGGCTACCATGCACAACCAACCATTGAGCCCAAGCCACCTTCTAGCCCACTAGTAATCACTAATCCATCACCTTTTGGGCTTTCATAATCCATGCATGGATCATCCTTCCCCCTTTGAAAGGAATTGACCTCATTCATCAAGTCCTCATCATCAAGATAAGGTGAAAGATCTCCACATTAAAGGTAGCATGCATTCCATGGTCTCCTCCCAAATCCACATTGTAACCATTATCATTTTCAAAATTTGTCACTTTCCACACATGTATCATTCCCTCCTTCTCGAAAGGAATTGTCCTCAATTCAGTAAGCCAAATTTTGTTGTTCTCCCATACAAACCTTCCATGACAATAGGTCTTGAAAACATATTTTTATTGCAGAATGTGACATTTTCTTTACTCCAAGTTGGTCTCTTCTCCACATACACATGTTCTTCAAATAGCTAAAAGAACTCGCCAATGAAATCCTAACCGTGTCTTCCATTTGTGGATCAAAAACCACTTTCGTACACTCCCATGAACAGATTAGGACCTAGTAAATTATTCTTGAAAATAATTTAAAGGATTAACAATGGCCATATGAAATATTAGATCATCGTTTTGTACTTGTGGGTTGATGAACAACATGTTCCAATAACATGGCTTCCCAACTAAAGGTACACCACAAGAATAGGAATCCAAGCATTATAAACTCCCTCCCTCGTAATTGCTTGGAACTTGGAACTGATGGGTCACTCCTTCTTCTAGGTTTCTTAGAAAGACGGTTTGTTATAAGAGTATCATCATCCTTCTTAACCACAACCACATCTTCGTGGTCAAGAACTTGCTCCACCTCTTTGAATTCTTCAACCTTTTCTTCAACAATTTTGTTTGTAACAAAATCTTTTTCTTTCAAAACTTTTCATCAATTTCGTTTCCAAGCACAAAATTTATTTCTTTCTTCAATTTCTTCATGATCCTCTTTCCCCATAAATATCGTAGATAGGGCTAGAGTCTTCAATAATTTCATCTCCAACCATGAAAGTGAATTTTTCAATAAATTCTTTCAAACAAGAAATTTATTCTTTCACAAAATTCCCCTTCACCATCGGTGTCGTAGATGGGACCGAAATCTTCTTCCTCCTCTTCTTCAACATATAGCTTGCGCAACATTTTTGGATAACCTCAGTTCAAACAAACTTAGCAATTTCTTTTGAACAAACCCAATCGGAACTAGGCTCTGATACCACTTATGATACGTGTATGGGCTTGATTTGGTGAGTAGGGTAGTGTTTAGGTAAATTAAAAGAGAATAGTAACCACAAATGATATATGAATGGAAAGAAATGGATAAATTAGTAACAACTCAAGACCTATTAAGTTGTATACCGGTGAAACAATCCAAGACCTATTGGATTGAGTTCG